TTTTCTCACATCACCCTTGCTTCATTTGCACATCACTTTAAATCTATACCCTTTTGTTTTTGAACATTTTGGAAGCAGGAACAGCTTTTATCTATTGACTCTCTCCAGCTTACACATGATTTTATAAACCTCTATCAAATCTCTGCTCAGCCTTCTTCTGTTCAGAGAGAACTTTTGGAACTTCTAAGATTTATTTATTTGTCACTTGTATTAACTTTAGGAATACAGAAGTAGCGCGAAAAGTGCACAAAGTTGCCATTCACTGGTGCCCATTTGGTTACATAACCCAGAATTAGAAGATGTAACAGAGCCAAAAGGTAAGCAAGAAAGAAAGTCCAGATCTCAGAGTCACAAGCCCCATCTCCTCAATGGTGCATGCCCAGCTCCAATCGTTAGGACACTCAGGAGGCCGTCGTCACCCCTTTACCAGCCCCATCCTCACCACCCACTGCCCCCTCACCGGCCCCGCTCTCATCACCCACTGACCCCTCACCAGCCCCACTCTCACCGCCCACTGCCCCCTCACCAGCCCCACTCTCACCGCCCACTGCTACTGCAATCTATCCTCATCACTGCAGTTCCTCATTGCTGGAACCATTCTTGTAAACTGCTTCTGCGCTCTCTCGAATGCATTCACATCCTTCTATAATGCCCACAACGGTACACAATACTCCAGCTGAGATCTAACAAGAGTCTGTTTTCATCATTATCATGTTCTGTGCTACTAACTAATATCATGATGTAAGTCAGTCTTTCTTTGCAAAATCTAGACTTGGACTCCACTGCAGTATCGCCTTGAAGGTCATGAAGATAATAAACCCTGTTACATCAAGTTCCTTTCAAGCCACTTCTGCTGAAATATGTGCCAATGGTCAGTTTTCTGGGAACAAAATGTTCAGCAGATTGCTGCTGCACTAGTCTGACCAACATAGGAACATAGGGGCAGAACTAGGGCACAGTTCTTAAGAAGAGTCATACCAGACTTAACCATGGTTAGCAGTGTTGCCTCACAGCACCAGGTACCTGGGTTCGATTCCAACCTCGGGTGACTGTGTGGAGTTTGCACGTTCTCCCCGTGTCTGCGTGTGTTTCCTCCACAGTCCAAAGATGTGCAGGCTAGGTGGATTGGCCATGCTAAATTGCCCATGGTGTCCAAGGACATGTAGGTTGGGGTGGTTTATAGGGGGATAGGTCTGGGTGGAATGCTCTGAGGGTCAGTGTGGACTTGTTGGGCCGAAGGGCCTGTCTCCATACTGTAGGGAATCTAAGGGGAAAAAAAAACTAACTCTGGTTTCTCTCTACAGATGCTGCCAGATCTGCTGAGCTTCTCCAGCATTATCCATGTCACACTGCCTCTCAGGCCTCCAGTGTTGGAAGAACAGAAAGTTTCTTCAATGAAATATTGTGTAAACCAAACTCATTGTCTTCTGTCTCCGCTACTAACTCTATCTCCCCCACTCCCCATTCAAGACAAGGTCTAATGCTGCAACAGAACATTCACAACTTCTGGACATAGTAGAAACTGCTGATGCTGGAGTCTGAGATAACAAGGTGTGGAGCTGGAGGAACACAGCAGGCCAGGCAGCATCAGAGGAGCAGGAAGGCTGATGTTTCAGGTCTTTTTCTGAAGAAGGGTCCCGACCCGAAACGTCAGCTTTGCTGACCCATGTGGTCTGGGATGTTTACATTTTCTATGATGTCCCCGTTAGGACCAAAGTATAGTGGGAGCAATCAAAAAGAGAGTTCATAGGTTTCCTGATTATTACACCACTAAGTTCCAATGAATGTGACCTGAAGTCACAATTTAAAAACACAATGTAAACATAAAGCTAGGGTTGGGGTGAATCAGCCAATGCTTTCTGTTTGGCAGCTCAGAATACAATGAGAACTGCATTGAAGAAGAAACATACAATGTTCCCATGATGAATGCAATAGATTTCTATTTCACAGTCTTCAAGCAGATCCTAGTATTGGAGCAGGTCTTGGGCTATAGATCAGAAACTGTGGTACAACATATAACATACAATTGGAAATGGCAGCCAGTGGAAGACAGAAAGGACGAAGGATTATGGATTGGACAAACCCCATTACTGCTGTCTTGGTGTTGTCAGTAAGGGGTTAGAGAAGGGAATCTCTGATGATTCTGTGCTGTCAGAACTGTTGACCAAGCGAGAGAGTATTTGTAGACATGTGCCTTGTTGGTGTTAACTGTGTCCACAGATGTCAATATGGCTGTTTGTGACTCCAGAACCAAATCAATTGAATAGAAGGGGAGAGATAGAGGAGGAATCACTATAAAATCTGTGAGATTGTCCATGATGCTGTAGGAAGTATGAGGTGTACAGCATGAGGTATACCTTTGTTGTGTACAATATTTAAAATGAAACTTATCTTTTCAAATATCATTCACCTGTTATTAATCAAAAAAGGTCAACAGTGCAGATAGAGACCATTCCCAATGACTCTGCACTGACTCTTTGAAGACCATCACAATTGATCCGCTCCCTACCCTATCCCCGTAATCTCACATTTCCAATGGCTAATCCTCTAGCCTACACATGTTTAGATTGTGGGAGGAAATTGGAACACCCAGCAGAAATAGGGAGAATGTGCAACTCCACATAGACAGTTGCCCAAGGCTGGAATTGAACCCAGGTCCCTAGCAATGTAAGGCAACTGTGTAAGGCCACAATGCTGCCAATGTTTGAATTATGTTGATTTTAACTGGTTTGTTACAGTAAAGATTTTAAAACATAATTAGTCCATTAATTCCTATTGGCTTCATTTTTTTTCAAAGTTATTATCTCCAGAGGGAACATAACACCCAACCTCACTTCTTCTCCATCATTACATCACCTGTCTGTCCCTTTGCACCAACTCTGGTTTTTTATTCATTTATGGGGTAAGGCCATCACTGGCCAGGCAGCATTTATTGCCCAAATTAAGAGTCAACCACCTTGCTGTGGGTCTGGAGTCACATGTAGGCCAGACCAGGTAAGGATGGTAGTTTCCTTCCCTAAAGGACATTAGTGAACCAGATGGGTTTTTCCAACAATCAACGATGGGTTCATAGTCACTGTTAGATTCTTAATTCCAGATATTTATTGAATTCAAATTCCACCATCTGCCCTGGCTGGATTCAAACCTGGGTCCCCAGAATGTTATCTGGGTCTCTGGATGAACAGTCCAGTGATAATACCACTGGGCCATTACCTCCCCTCTGTGTTGCAAATACCCTCCATTCATGCCTCTATTACCTCCAGTTTTGCCTATTCCAATGAGAGACAATGTGAATCAATGATTAATTCTAAAGCTGGGTGCAGGGGCGAGGAGATCTGGGAGTATATGTGCAGATAGATTTCCGGAGACTTGTATCTGATTTTCTCTTCATAGATGCTGCCAGATCTACTGAGTTTCTCCAGCACTTACAGATTTCTAGCATCTGCAATATTTTTCTTTTATTGTAATTTCCAGGACAGCTATCTACAGAAAGCAGTGGCAGGATGCAGGAAGGATATTCCTGACGACTGGGGGAGTCCAGAACCAGGGGTCAGAGTCTAAGGATATGGTGTAGGCCATTTAGGAGTTAGATGAGGAGAAATATCTTCACTCAGAGACTGGTGAGCCTGGGTAATTCACTGTCACAGAAAGTGTTTGAGGCCAAAGCATTGAATGTTTCCGAGGAGGAGTTAGAGGTCTTGGGGCTAAAGAAAGATCTTCGGGCTTTGGGGAGAAAGTGGTAACAGGGGACTGAGTTGGATGATCAGATTGAATGGTGGGACAGGTTCAATGGGCCGAATGGCATACTCCTGCTTGGAGTTTCTATGCTTCTATATTTCACACCTTGTCAAGCATAACCGTAGTCCAACCACAACTTCAATTGTCTCCAATACCTTTCTGCGGCACCTGAAGAGAGAGAGAGAAAATGCTTTCAGCTGTTGAAAAGTTAGTTCTTTTTCTTATTGTTGGCTGTGTTCCCAAAGTCGACGTGAAATCGCAATCATTATGTTCGGTCACCTCCCTGGGATCACCTGAAGGGATTTGGTGTCAGTTTTTTTCTCTCTCTCTGTTTTATCCAGGCTCCTGTGAAGGGATTGAGACGCTAGCTGCGTCGAAGGCGCTACATAAACGCAGCGTCTCGTCAAAGGCGCCGTGCAAATGCAAATGAGCTGTTAGAGACAAATGGGGGAAATGCCGGCGAGAGGATAAAACTCAGATACACATAGACAAGCAGAAACAGAAAAGTCCACAAAACGACAGGGGAGCAATGAAACAGCAATGAGTGAGTGGCAGAGGTTGGGAATGAGAGAGAGAGAGAGAGACAGTGTGAGGCAGCAACAGTCTTTGAGATAGAGGCGAGCAGAGAGAGTGGGAGAGAGTGGGCTTCAGAATGACAGCGAGGTACAGTAGGAGAGAAAAACACAAATAATAAGATTCTGAAGCAGGGTCACTGGACACGAAAGGTTAACTCTGCTATTTCTCTGCACAGATGCTGCCAGACCCGCTGTATTTCTCCAGCAATTTCTGCTTTTGTTTCTGATTTCCAGCATCCGCGATATTTTTTTCTCACAAATTATAACAGTCAGAGAAACTCAAAATGACAGACATTACAGTCCCAAGATTATGAAGTTTCTTGTGAGATGCTCTTCCAGAAGTTGGTGCGTTTTTTAAAAAAAAATTATAAAATGCATTGATTAATCGAAACTGCTTTTGCAACAACTTCAGTCCAAGACATGGATCCTGTTTGAATGTGAGCCCCCGGCTACTCAGAAGCAGTATGGGGGTCTAACTTGAGTCTATCGCGGAGAAGTGAGGGGCAGTGAGGGGAAGTGGGATTGAAGGGGTTAGTGGTGAAAGGAGAGGGGTGTATGGAACTTCTTCCCATCGAACATCCCACCTCTCTTTTTCGTTCTTAAGAAAACGCTATATCAGCGACGCCTTTGTTATGTTAATAATCCCCTGACATCATTGGACTTCAAAGGAGGTTGTGGAGTTGATATAACGAGGTCCTGCCAACACACATACACACACACACACACAGAATGGTGTTCGGATGAACCCAGTGCAGAGACATAGTGGGGCTGTGCATCAGAGGACAACTTTCAGCAGTGACCCCCGAACGGATGGACTCCTTTGGATTTGGAATAAACCGCGAATAGATATCTGTGCAGACACCCCGGGACTGAAGACTGAAGGTAGGATTCAGAAGAAACAAAACTGTTGCTTTAAGCTTCCAACAACAAAAAGAGGGGCAGAAATAATTTCGAGTTTACTATCTGTTAGAATGAGAGTATCTTCTTTATTTAGAATGTATTAATTTAATTTTTTTTTAAAAGAGACCCTCTTACAAATTTCCAGTTTGTCAATTTCTGAAACGCTTGTGAGTTTCACAGTAGTGAACTAGTTACCTAACCGCAGGGCGAGCGGACCAATAAAAAGGCACTTTTTAAATATCAGATTAAATGAATTAATGTAATTTGCACGATGGAATGTGAACAGCTACCTGCGAGGTGCAAATGTAAATCTCACTGGGGTCGACGATTTAAAATATAAAGTAACTCGCGGGCCCAAAATATAATTCTTTTTCTAAAAAAAAGTCCCGAGTTCTACATCACGTTTCCAAGCCAAACGATTGAAAGTGATGTGTTGAACAGAAGGAATCCGAGTGAATTCCGAATGTCCCTTCTTCATTCTTGAATATAAACTTTTTAAATCGTTGTATCGTGCCTAGTTAAGGCAGTTTGAAGTCGAAAGGAACAGTTATGTGCATTTTTATGTTCTCAGAAGCTCACCTTCCAAACCACCCCCCGACCCCATCCCAGGTTAGTTACAAAGAACAGAGGTAAGTATTGATCTGTTGTTCGGATTTCATCCGGATTAATTTTTCAAAACAGGGTGCTTTGGGATAACTCCTTAATGTAAAATATTCTGCAGTACAGCAACATCCACTGCACCCCTCCCCAAAGAGAAAGCGCTGGTATGCTTTGACCTAGCACTGTCATTAAACATGTGTCAACCGTCCTCCAGAATTTACAAAGCTCGCAAGAACCGGATTCATTAATAAAGTTTCAAATCTCTGACACCCCTTCGCCTCCCGGCGGAAATTAGTCTCCCCTCGCCTGCCCCTCTTGTAATAAATCACTGCCTCTCAGTTACTGGGGAAACATTGTTACAGGACGGAACTGAGCTATTTGGCAGTGAGGAAAAAAGAAGTTTTAAGTCTTTAGGAGCAAATTTGAATTGAGGGAAGGGGGCTAGTATAGAGTATGAGCAGCCGCGTGGGGGCCGAATGGCTTGGAAGTTGAGTGCAATCCTGCCAGTTAGTAGGGCTGATCACGTCTAGAAGGCGCTACTCCCAGGGTAGATTCGAAATGTTCTGAGAATGAGCTGGGATTTTTTTGGAATAAATATATTTCTCCCCAGCCCCAGAGAGGTCAGTCTGGGAGGCACACGCCTCTCCTGTCGCTCGCTTCCTGCCTTTTCAAGCAAGGTGCGACTTCTCAAGCTGGGGACTTGAAGCTTCTCCGTGAAAAGCCCCGCTCTAAACCAGAGCAAGATTAAACATTGGGAGATCAAATCCTGACCTACCGCAACCTCCCTATCCACCCACACACACCTGGAGTTCTGAGAAGGAAAGTTTAAAAGTTACAAAGTCTAAAATAGTTACACATTCCTAAAATAATCAAAACTGTGGAGCTCTCGCGGGAGATGGATTGATCCTGCTATGATTTGCTGCCGTTTTCAGAGGCTATTCGACTTCAGGAGGGAAGTGAACATAGGGGTAGGGTAGTTAGAGAGGTCTTAATCCCTCTCCAAACCACCACTTTTGGGCCATCTGTGCAATCCAGGGCAAAGGAACTACGGATTGGATTCCCAGTACAGGCACAACAGGCCGAATGGCCTCCTCTAGTACCGCAAAAGTTCAGTGATTCTGAGTCAGGACATTTTATGTTGGAGGGTCAGGAATGTCAGGAAACACTTCTTCACAAAAGAAAACGTCTGAAACCTTTCCCCTCTCCCTGCCAACTCTAAACAACACTTTCACAGCTTTTACAGCTCAATCAAAACTTTTGATAGCAAGATTAATGTTTCTTTTTATTATGGTTACACAAAGTTTCGATCGAATGCCAGGCACACACTAGCACACAACTTGAATCTCACCAAAAGCAAAAGTACATTGTTGGAGTTTTTTGTCCCACCCTCATCAGGTGAAAAACACAAGAATGCCAAATTTCGCTCACAAGAATTTATCCCACAGGAGAAAAACAAAGAGTGTTGATTGGTCGGCAAGTCAACACTGATTGGTTGAGGCATTGCCATGGAGAAAGCAATCAATATTTGCTCCCCAAACTCTAGGATAATTCAAAAAGGTGCAAAGTTTGAAAGTATTCCCCTTTGTAACGAATGGGTGGCTGCAAGTGAATGTATGTCATGAAATGGTTATAGTGCCGAACAGACTTAAGATATAAAAACCAAAAGAACTGCGGATGCTGTGAATCAGGAACAAAAACAAAGTTGCTGGAAAAGCTCAGCAGGTCTGGCAGCATCTGTGAAGGAGAAAACAGAGTTAACGTTTCGGGTCCGGTGAACCTTCCTCAGAACTGAAGAAGTTCTGAGGAAGGGTCACTGGACCCGAAACGTTAACTCTCTTTTCTCCTTCACAGACTTGAGACATGGATTGGCAGATTTAATATGGTGTGGATATGCTGGTGTTGGACTGGGGTGGACAAGGTCAGAAGTCATATGACACCAGGATACGGTCCAACAGGTTTATTTGAAATCATAAGCTTTCAGAGCACTGCTCCTTCGTCTGATGAAGCACTTCCTCTGATGAGGGAGCAGCACTCCGAAAGCTTGTGATTTCAAATAAACCTGTCGGACTATTAGCTGATGTCATATGATTAATGATTTAATAGGTTTGACGGGCTGAATGGCCTGCTGCTTCCGTTCCCAGTTTTGTTGGTGGCTTTTGACCTCACATTCTGAAACTCTCTCCTGAAGCCCATTACGGTCTCTTTGTCTCCTTGAAACCTATCTGTTTAACCATGATTCAATCACCCTCCTGTTTTCTGTTTATTTCCCGTAGTAAAATGTAAGATTAATCTGACAATGGGATTTCAAAGAAAGTATTTGCATTTATATTTGAGTTTGTGTAACCTCAGTGTGCCCTAAACACTTGACTGTCAATTAATTACTTTTGAGGAGTAGTTGCCATCATAATGTCAGAAGCTAATTTACACACAGCAATGAAACAGATGACTAAACTCATAAGCAAGAGATTGTAGGCGCTGGGAAGTTAAAACAAAAAGAAACTGAAAGTGCTGGACGTAGCAGATCAGGCAGCATCTATGGAAAGATTAAAAAAATGTTTATGCTTCAGATCATCAGAAACCCCACCAATATTGCCTGACTGACTGAGTATTTGAAGCATTTCTCAGTTTTTGTCTCAGATAACATGATAAGCTGTTTCACTGATGTTGGCTGAGGGCTAACTATTTGATTGGACTTTGGAGGGACTCTCCTGCATAAATTAAAACAATGAACCGCAGATGCTGAAATTCTGAAACAAACTCGGACTCTTGATGAAGAGTCACCAAACTTGAAATAGTAACTCTGCTTTCTCTCCACAGATGATGCCAGACCTGCTGAGTTTCACTAGCAAATTCTGTTTCTGTTCCAGAATTCTTGAGTTTCTTCACAATAGTCCTCTTAATACTTCTGCCTGAAGGAGTGACAGTGTTTTAATACTATGCTAAATTGTCAGTACTTAACTATTGCTGAAAAAGTTTTGTTGAAACGTTCTGTCTTAACGCTCATCAGGACAATTTGCAAGAATACCATTGTACAGGGGGATAATTTTTTTTTACACTGCGTGAGAAGAGTGTGCTTTTGCTGTCAAAGGAGTGTGATTGGTAAAGGCATTGTTACAGAGAATGCACCACCTAAGTGATGACTGACAGTTAATCACCAAGCTTTGTTATAATATAAATTATTGTCAGCCGAGATTTTGGCACAGTTTTCTTGAGCAGCACTTGAATTCACAATGATCCAACCCAAAGGGGTAACCACAGAGCTATATATGAAACATCATGAGCCAAAAAGTGACCCTGAAACTGTGCTTTAAGAATAAACCCCTCACTAACAGTCGAGAGGGATACTGATCTGCCATCTACACTTATGAGTTCTGAGGAAGGGTCGCTCGACCTGAAACGTTAACTCTGATTTCTCTCTACAGATGCTGCCAGACCTACTGTGCTTTGCCAACAATTTCTGTTTTTGTGTCTATACTTGTCGATCCTATATTTAACAACACTTGTAAAGTTTAATGTGATTCTCTCCTAAGTGTTCTCAAAATTATTATTATTTGATTAACAGCAGTTCAAAATGAAAGGACTATCATCAACACCAGCTTCACAGATCAACTACACGGCCTGGCCAATGAATTAAAAAAACTAAAATTTGTGGCTAATCTTGGTTTATGAAGAAAGGTCCAATTGATTTACAATGTGTAAATGGTTACATAAAACATCTCAATCAAGTTCAAAGCCTCCCTGTTGTGAGACTCTGCTTCCCATTTGATGAAATCATTGTCCCTAAGGATGGACAGCAAGGTTCTCCTTCTCCATTTTAATAGACTCTTAAACTGACAGAAAAATTGTAGCAAAAGGTTAATGGATTTCAAGCTAGGGGGATATGCGTGAGGAAGCCTTCAACCTCATAGCCTCCTTGCTGGGCTCATGACTGATTAATATTGTCGCTGACATTACAAAAACGCTTAAAATGCTTGCATCAAATTCCTCACTCCAAATATTTTAACAGAGGTCTTTTCCATTTAAGTTTCTGATTCAGTAATGCAGACAGCATGACAGAGACCTGTTAGATTAAATAGATGAAAAGGCAGAGAGAGACAGAAAAGAGCCTTGCAATCCTCACCAGTCTCAGTAAACTGGTTGTTTAACCTCTCACCAAAGCAACAAAGAAAGGAACTTAATCTAACTGTTTGCATGCAAACGTTTTTGAGTATTAATGAAATTAATGGAAATAAGTCTGGAGCAGGAATTTGGAGTTAAACTGTAAGATCAGCCAGGATCTTACTAAACAGGAGCAGACTCAAGAGACACAATGGCTTAAACCTGCTCCTATTACTTAAGTACTTAGTTACATTATCATTACGAATGTAAACCTGTAGAATATA